CCAGTGCCATACGCCCACCAGCGGCCGAGCGGTAAAGTCGCTGAACACTGGTAGTTCGGTCCGAGGTTCGAATCCCGTGAACGGGCTGCCTGCATGGGTGTTTTCGTGGTTTCCCCCATATGTAACGTGTATACGAGCCAGTTTCCCTTAGAAAGTCTTCCACGAAGGCATCCCTCCCCCTTAGGCAGATAGCCCTAGTGTGCTTTGCCATAATTAAATACACCACACCCAGTGCCATACTCCTTGCATAATTTTGAGACCAATATACCTTTATCCATTTTTTTGCAGCAATTCCACTTTTCTTTTAATGGACATTGAAATATGCTTTCGCTTTGTAAATCCTGTTGCAGCTCCAGAATTAAAAACTCCTTTCAACATAATCGAGAGTTCAAGCTTTAATTTTCATAAAATTGCTGTAATAATAAGTCTGGGAAAAAATAATAAGCTGGATCAAATCAGAAAGGAACAGTGCAGTTTGCATATTAACAGAAATTCCTCCGGATCAAAGTATAATTTTAGCCTAGCTTAATAGCATCCACTATACATAGGGTTCATACGGTCCTTAATTTTAATCATCTGAAATTTGTCTTGTTTTTATGACTGCTATTTTAAGTGTGAATTATCATTCTGGAGAAATATCTTTGGCGATTCATTGACGAATATGATTATCTTTTGAATGGGTTCATGGGTTATAATTTGTTCCTCTTTCTAATATAAAGGGTGAGTGAGATACTGGAATTTCTGAGCAAGGAGTTAAACATAAGCATTTCAAAATTATTTCATTTTTTTTTTGTAATGAAGAGCTCTTGAAAAACTTTCCGCTTTTGAAGATGTGAATTCCTTTAATGAAAGACTGGAAATTTCGAAACTTGTCAACATTTTGGAGATTTTAAGATCAGTTTCTATGGAAAATTTTTAATTTGGAGATCTGGAAATTTTTCAAAAATATTTCTGTTACTGTTGCAGATTGCGTTGTTCCTTAATCTTCGAATTGGATCCGGCTTATTATTTTTTGCAGACTGTTAGAGCAATTTTATAAAAGTAAGCTTGAACTTTCGATTATGTCAAATAGAATTTCCGATTCTGGAGCTGCCAAAGGATCTACAAAGCGAAAGCATGTTTCGATATCCATCAAACAAAAAGTGGAATTGCTGCAAAAAATGGATAAAGGCATAAAGAAAGTGACAGAGAGGTGATTTGTTTCTCCAACCATTCCGAAATCTGTTTATCAATTTCGCGCAGCTCTGGGGGGGAACGTCGCGGCGTGCAATGAACTGGAAGTTGATCTGTCAGCACTATCTTTAGCTTCAGGGCAGATGCTTTTATTTTATTCAGCTTATAATTCCTTACTAAATGTAGTGTTTCATCTCGATGTACTCGATATGATTTAATCAATTTCTTCGTCATTATAAATCACGAATACACCAAAATCTTTTCTGGTTGTTTTCTAACTGCGTAAGTATGCTTTGCGCATGCCGGTTGAAAGAAGTTAATAAAGTAAGCAATAAATATTAAGTTTTTTTTTTTTTTTTTTTTTTTTTGTAAATGTTTGATACTCTTTCCCAATTGCTCTTTATTTCATAAATTACGATTTCATATTTTTAATTGTATAATTTCTGCATGCCATCTTACTTGATTTAAACTGATGATCTATAATCCGGAAAAATTGATAATGCGGAATCGCCGAAGTCCCGACGAGTCCGGATTAAAGACTTTTGACTGTATATTGAATCTGAAAAATAAACAAGGTAATAAATGCTATAAAGCACAGTTCAAAAAAACAATTCATAGCAGAAGCAAAATAGCTATGTAATTACTTAGAAATTTCTTCATTTTAATTTTTTCATAGTAAAAATTTTCCCCATGTAATTGTTTCAGAATTATCAGAATATTCCTCAGTTTTCTTTATAAAAGTGGTTTTATGCTTTTTCCACTCCTCTCCCCCCTAAAATATTTCTGGCCTTTTTTCTGTTACAGAATTGGTAGGGCTAATTTTTTAGACATTGCAACTTGGGAAGTTTAGAAGGATTTGAAGGCAAGATTTACAGAACCACAATTCTGTTCCAGAAAAAATGACAAAATGAAAAATGTCTTCAATTTATTAACACATATTGGGTGTATTTTGCATAAATTTTGTGATGAATTTAAGGGTAATGAAAACATAATGTTTCTTCTGTATACTATACTTTTTTTTTATCAACATGTTTATCTTCTTTATTTTCTCAACTTTTCACTAGACACAAGCATGGAAAAATATCAAAAATGTTTCCAGTCTTTTCACATTTGGTTTTTTTAGAATAACAGAAATCTTTAATTAATTCCAAAAATTCTAAAGTGAAGAGGAAATTTATTGAAGAAAGAAACTGAATACATAAAGAGGAAGAAAATTATTCTTGAAAGATATGTACAATTATTATTATGCAAATTAACTAGTTGTTTATAATTTTAGCCTTTACTATTACTTCCCTTTTCCGTTTCCTCACCATAATGCAAATCAGATAGTTTTTAAACTGAGATGTTTGGATTGTAAGATAATGTTTTTGCCCTCTACTTGGATCTTTCCTTAGTTCCTGCCAGCTCTGATAATTTGTAATTATTCATCTTTGCATTATCACTGCTAATATTTGAATTTGTTACTACGATATTGAAGTTACTGAACCACCTTAGATTAAATTTAAATTGTGTAGTCTTTTGACTACTAGTCTACAATTTTAGTTTGAATTTGACTGTCCCTGTTTAATTGCATCACCATAAGCTGTAGTGGATTTCGTCAACATAAGAACGTGCCTGTATGTTCTTTTTAAATTAAAAAGTTAAATAAGAGGTTTGTTTAAATCTTTATGTGACCTTTGTCGTTACTTTCAGACGTAGCGATGATTTGCTTCAAATGTTTTGGATTATTTAACTTTTACCAGATCAAGCAAAACCTTGTTAGGTACACTGTTGAGAGATTGGCAAGTTAAGAGATAAAGCATGCAGAAACTAGTGGGAGCATTGGTTTGTGTATTGAATTAGATTTCTAATTGCTAGAAAAGATGTTTAAAGAGAAGGAAATTGATATCAATTACCCAAAATGTCTGGGAAGACTTCAAATTAAAAAGACTCATAAATATTTGGTTTTATAGCTTTTAATGTGCCTTTTTTAACAAAGTTTTTAAAAAATAAATAAAATTTAATAGTAGTGATGTAAATCTATAACGACTAAGCATATTTAACTAATTTAATTATTTATAACTAACTGCTCACCTTTAAAAATTATCTCTGCATATTAAGCATATGCAAGTTATTGCCTTTCACTAATCATTACTGTGGCTAAAATGATACAGCAAAAAAATGTAAAAATTATTGTAAAACTTATTCTTTGCATCTAGTGAGACTTAAAATATTACAAAACAACTTACCACCTCTGGTGCATTAGTTACTTGTTGGAACCTTAAAATATATTAACTGGGCTACAATCCTAGAAACTTTATATGAAGCTACAACACTAACTGCATCAGACAGACAGAGCACAACTAACTTTCAAAAATTGCCAACCATGCCTACATTGGGCTGTCAGGTTTGTTCTGATCAACAGGTCTCTGTCTCAGCAAGCAGCTACACTGGCAACAGCTGATCTTCTGTTACGAATCATGCTGATGTACGATTTTATTTCTCATTTTAACCTATGCTATTTGACATAAATTCTACCTGCTATTTACTAAACTTCTAGACTGGGTAAGTATGTTGCAAAATGAGACATAAAAGAAAAAATCAGCATTAAGTAAAGCTAACTGTTAATAAAACGTAAATAAAATGCCCCTAATCTTTCGTAAATTGTGTTCTCAAATTTGTTTTATAATTTATTAAATTATATTTAATAAGAATGCATCCTACTTATGAATCTATTTTATTCTTAGAATGTTATTACAAAAATGAAGTTCAAACGTAAGTTGATTGATTTTATTTATTCAGCTCCTATTTGCTTATAGGTCCATTAATTTTTTTCATTAATGGCATTACAAGAAGCTTGGCAATAGGGGCTTGTACCGTAATAAAACTGTGTACAGCAATTCCATTGCGATAAAAATGTATGCTTATCAATCTAAATTAAAATACAGATTATACAACTTTCTCACATATCCTTTCAGAATGCCCTATTGAAAGATGAGTTTTTGTGCTTTGCAAGATTTTCTTTTTCAATGAAAAACACATTTTCTGATGGTATGAATACTAGGTCACATAGTATTTTTTCAAAAGAAATGCAATTCAAGTAAATAAAAACAAATTCATAAAACATTTATGTGAATAAACATGATTGAAGTACACAAGCCAATTGAATAATTAGAAATTTTTTAAAAATCTGAAAATTACAGCTGCGATATAAAAATACACTCTGTCACAAAAAAAAACATATACACCCAAAGGGAAACTACTATCACAAAACTTATGTAACAAAAATGTATATAGTGTATGAGGAGAAAAACAAATGATTACAAATTCAGAACAGATCATTTTATTAAGAAGTTATGGCATGAAAAAGGTTACAAATTACAATTTTGTTGTGGAAGATAAAAAAATAGGGTGACTAGATCATGTGTCATGTATATGTGCAAAGAACATGCAGTTACAATAATTATTGGGTGTGTAACAGTAAAAGGCACATTACAGATGAAATTTAATATGGTTGGCGGCTAAAGTGTATGTTTAATATGTTATACTTTGTATTTTGCTTTTACTCAAGCAATTTTTATTAGCTTTAGCAAAAGCTTTGGTTATAAAATATTATAAATATTTGTTCTTTAGCCTTTTTTTAAAAAAAAAAATAGTCCAGCAATATCCAGATCATAACTGTAGTTAGTTGTATTCACCAAATATTTAGAAACAAAATGCTGTCTTTGTTCACACTATCTTAGTTGTATTTTGTCTGTAAGCATTTAGTTGAATGTAATATTAGTTTGTCATGCTTTAATGCATTTGTTTTTCAAGTAAAGTTTGTATGTGAATTTTCTTTTAGGATACAAATCTCAGGAGAGATGGAAACACATAATTTTGTTATTAAATGTCAAACTGTGCATGGTACTTTCATCTTAGAAGATTTAACTGAAAGTAGCACTGTTGAAGACCTGAAGAATTCATTATCGAAGATTGTTAAAGTAAATCCAGAAGAAATGAAAATTTACTGTGGATATCCACCGAAAGCTGTAACTGTAGAAGCAAAATCTTCAAGATTAGATGATATAAACATTCATTCGTTTGATACAGTAATTATTGAGATTCAGAAAGAGCCTGTTGCTGCAGATCAGGGGAATACCAGAAGAAATGTTTCTGCATCTGAACTGATCGCTCCTCAATCTGGTATTATGATGAGGCGTGAGGTACCAGCAAACAATTCGTGCCTTTTTACAAGTATTGATTTCATTCTTTCTAATGGTAAACTTGATGTTTCAAGAAGTAATGAAATGCGAAGAATTATAGCTCGAGAAGTTACTAAGAATCCTGAAAGATACACCACTGCTTTTTTGGGAATGCGGAATGATGAATATTGCCATTGGATAACGGATCCCAGCAACTGGGGAGGAGCTATTGAATTATCAATCTTAAGTGAACATTTGAAGATGGAAATTGTTGCTATTGATACTTTCAGTCTGGCAGTGCATCGGTTTGGTGAACGGGAAAATTATGCAAATAGAGTATTTCTCATATATGATGGCATACATTATGACCCCTTAGTCTTGGAGCTGAATGATGTATTACAGACAATTTTTCCCTCTTCTGATGACGCTCCTCTCCAAATGGCCATGGAAATAGCTCAAGAAGCTAAAGCTAGTCATCAGTATACTAATGTGAATACCCTTACTGTCCATTGTGTTGCTTGCAAAACTCTGTTGCGTGGAGACAAAGAAGCAAGAGCTCATGCTATGGCTACAGGACATAGCAAGTTTGAAGAGGTCACTGATAAAATTACTGTGTAATCTTCAGTTTGTATTTTCTGTGCATTCCATTTTATTTTATAATTATCATTTCCTTTTGTATTAAAACTTTTTGATATTTAAGATATACCTTTTTTATTATCTTCTACTGTTCAAGTTTTAAAATTTTCCATGCTTTTATTGGGATAGGAGCCTAAATTTTTAAATATGTTTAACTGATCACACATAATTCAGAGAATTGTACATTGTATTTTATGACATTTTGTAGTAATTTGTTAACTCTTAAATAGATTGAGAAATTAGTTCATAATATTTGTAACTACTGTTTAAAATTTTTCTATTTATTACTTTGTTTTAAAGTGGAAAGTTAATGGAAGAATCTCTAGTCATATTCCCGGTATCTGATATTTGCGTAGGGAAATCCTGTCTATATTTTGCAGCTGTTATTTATTTTAAAGACTACTACTCATCACTTGCAGTGTTGTAGTCATTAAGAAATGTTTTCAAGGTCTTTATTGTTATTCGAATTAAATGCATGATTTTTTTGTTTTGATATGAAATATTTTTTTTTTCTTCGCCCAATTTTTTTCATGGCCTTTACATCTGCAACATCAGAAATGCTGCTTTCACTGCCATTCCCAACAAACTGAGCAGTTGTGAAAATTCATACATTTAGGATTTAACATGTGTTTCTTTGCAGTCATCTTTTTTTAGTTAGTTCTATAACTGATTCATATATTTTAATGTATGATCATTTTTTAAAACAATGAGTGATGCTTCCTCTGATTGTTAACGTTTCAAATGTATAATACAAATGTGCATTCACTTATATTGTTGTTAACTGTACATGTTTTAAATTTCTTGAACTGTTTAGTGTGCTGCAGTTGGTTAAATTTCTCTCTTTTTAGGTCAACTTTTATCGGTTTTAATTTTCAAAGTTAATATTTTAAATTGTAACATTTTTCTTCCCATTGTAAAAGCATACTTGTGCCTTAAATTTTAATATCTGTTTGATTCATTACCATAATATAAATTTATTCAATTTCTTATGATGTGATAGTTCACAGTTGACATTAAACTTTATTAGATGCTTTCTTCTTTTTGTTATGTAAGTTATCTTAAATTAGTATTTCTGTAGGATTTAAATTATTGACAGAAAGAATATGCACTTGAATAGATTTTAATTCAGTTTTCATTAGAAGCAATAAAAATATAAAGTGATATTTCTGATTCATGTAAATGTCAAATGTGGAAGCTATTTTTGCTACAGAGTGTTTATGCAGCATTATATTTTCCTTAAAATAGTTCTGAAATGTTTATATCCAGTCTTTCCCTATCATATCTAACAAGAAATTGCTCAAGCTTTGTCAGTATTGTATTCACTCATTATGCAGTTTTGCTGCTAATAGTGTATGCACTATATGGTGATCAAATTATTTCTCATTGTTTTCCCTTTGAAAGTTACAAAAAAGTAGCTGTTTATGAATGCTTTAAAGAACATTAAATAATTAGATTGTGTTAATGAATTCATTGGATGGTGTTTTTATTCCATTAAGTGCTAGCTCGGTGTTATATTTTTGTCTGATTTATGGGCATACTGCAGATACTTTTTTAGCCAAAGTATGTATCTATTTTTTATATGTTTGAAATAGGTTGTATTTGTACTGTAAAAGTCCTATATTTAGGAAGGTGAATGCTATTGAAAACTGTCATCAGAATGAATTTGTCATTGTGAGGACAATCTAGTAATTATAAACTGTTTTGCTTTTTAATAGTAAACTTTATTTTTGTTATATGCTAAATTTGTTGCATCTTAAGTGTTAAGTTTAACTTTGTAGTCAAAATAAATAACGAAACTTGGATTTATGCTTGTCTTTAGTACTGTTGATCATATTGTATAAGTTTAAAAGAGTTTTATTCATTGAGAGTTTACATGTTAAATTAGGTTTAAGAGGACTGCAGAATGTTTATTTCATACATGTAGCATTTAAAATGAAGGAATTATATTAATATGAAAATGTTTTTTTCCATTGAATACTTGTAGTCTATGTTCCATTACTTGTAGTCTAAATCAGTATTTGGTATCGTATGTGATGTAGCTGATTAGTTTGAGCAGAATACAGTTTGTTAGATCAAAATAACAGCACTGTTACTTAATTTTGGTTTCATTTAAACTTGTTAAATTGCAGGACTTAAAAGTGTTGCTAAAATGTATTTAAAGGTGCTTGATTTTTATCTTCTTATAACATAATTATAACTTATTCCTGAACCAGCATATTTCTCTTTGTGTTCTGTGTCCAGCCCATCTGAATACTTACATAACTCTCCATGCATATGCATGTTACTTAACTGTTATTACTTAAGATTACATCTAGCACTCGATTATGCAGATGTGGCACACTTAAATT